GTGTCACACATAACAGTCTGATGTCAGGGGCCGCGAGAATGAAAATGTTGGCAAAATGTACTTTTTTGATTAATATGTTTTACCGTTAGCTTAGACAACATCAGAACAACATTACTGAGTACCTTTTGCATTTCAACTGTGAAATGGCAAAGTTACTTTTCAGAGAATTTTATGTTTTAGTTCAGATCCAGTGATGACACTTTTTGGAAGGAGAACTCTTTTTAATTTTTTTTTTTAATGCAAATTTGTAACACAACATCAAAGAACTCATCTTTTCCTATTGTTACATTTTTTGATGTTTTATGGCTCAGACAGTAAGTAATCTTTAAATTTGTTTTCTTTTAATTTGTGAAAAACGTAGAATGTACTATATATTTACCGAGTTTATTTTTTTTGAAGAATTTTCTCTGTGATGTTTTCATGCTTTGACTTGAGCCAAAGGCAGTTTTCTGTCTTGGACAAACATAATGTTGCATTCTGTTTTATTCTCTCTTGTGTTTATGAAACAGATTTTGATGTGGAGAATATTTTTCAAAATTCACTTTATCTTGTTCTGTACTTACACAGAGCCTGTATGGACATAACTCCATAAATAAAATATCCTACATGGATTCTTTAGAAATATGCAGTGCAGCAGATAAGGCAGCTAATTTGACTATTTGTTCAAAAAAACAATAGACACTAACAGCAGCACTATTGTAGAATATTCTTTTTTTGACCACACAATTTACATTTAAACATCTGATTATGACTTGGGAGTGTAGAATGTTTTATTTTTTGCAAATAAATAAGATGTTTTTTTTTTCCTCACCAACAGATTTCATCTTGTCAAAATTACATTATTATATTTGTACTCTAATAGGAATGTTTTGTAATGCATACACTGAGATATTGTTCACATTATTCCTTTTTACTGCCGGTTATACTCTGTCCTATACCAAGATTTTCTGGTTTTAGCCTAAACCTGGCCTAATGTGTGAATTGGCTTAGATGTTGAGGCTGTTCATCAGGAGTGGGTGCAGTGATTCCACCATCATGGCTGCCAATACCAACCACGCCCTCCTTGCCTGCCACTCAGGAACAGTTAAAATGGCAGCATGCAGCAAAATGAATAAGAGGGAGGAAAACAGAGACGCCCATTACTGTGTTCACTGGTGGCTGGCCTTGTATGTCACCTCAAACTGAGATGCTCATTTTTGGTGAATTTGGCCATCTGAGTTCAATTTTATAAATTGTGGAAGTATAGACATGTAGGCAGTGAAGGGTTAACCTAGTTTGACATGGACTGATCAAGAATCAGTCATTTCCAATAGTTCAAAATGTCCAATAGAGAGCCAAATGTTGGTGGATATTCTTCATTAGAATAATTAAAGTTTAAAAAATTTTATTTCATCCAAACATCACTGGCAAAAACATGGCTGTCCTGTTTTCGAATCTAACAGCATTCTTATATTTAATGGCACGGTCACTACATTTTAATGGAAAGTGTTTATAGCTCTTTGAACCATTCACCCAGGTTTTTGGCAAGTTTCCATTTTATTCTCCAAATGATTGGTTGCACCTTGGCACTGTGAGAACAAGCTGCTTAACACAGATCTTTCTGCTGTGTACTGTATCATCTAGGATGTAAAACTTTATGTACTTTATATGTTTTTAGTGGTAAGATGCCTTGGTTTGGGTTGTCAGCATTAGCCAGAATATCAGCTGTATTCTGAAGTGGTGCAATACGGTATTTCAGTTACTATATTTATACTTCATGTACTGTAGAAAGAACGACGCGCTAGTGATTAGTCAACACTCTTTGTGCATGTGAACTATGCAGCTAATAATTAAAGGCAACACCAGCCAACGCGGTCAGTGAGCTAGAGGCCCATTTAAGGTGCCTCAGTGTAGATGTGTATATGCAAGCTCAGTAAACCATCTGAAATTAAATATTTCTCTCAATCATTTTAAACCTTTCCAGGTCTGGCTGCCACTTCATAACAGCTCTATTGTGAGGCGTTCCACATCCAAACTGCAGTGTGGAGAATGTTAAGGTAAAAGTCCAACTCTTCTATTTTTAGGTCTTCCTACTCACACTGACATTTTATTATTGGCTCTTGGTGTGAATATGTTTTTCTTCCCTTCCACAGTGTAGAGAGCTGATGGTGAACTAGGAGGAAGATGTCATGCTTAGGATGGGTTTTGGTGATGATGTTGCTGCTGTTGATGCAGCATCGAGCTCTCACTTTGTGCCTCTGTCAGCTATGATGCGTAACCACAGAGTGAGTGACAGGCCAGTCCTCAGGGAGAGCAGGGGGCCTGAGGTAAGTCAGATGTATCCTTGACCCTGTCTGGCTGTGTGTCAGCAAGCAACTCAAACTGGGTAAAAAGGGCCACAACTGGCATGACTGTACATTGTACATCTTAATTTTGCATGTAGAAGAAGAATGTTAGAGACACTTTCAGAAACACCAAGAGAAACAAGCTTCTTGACTGCTCAAGAGGTTTTCATTGCCTAGACCTTCCCTCAACTTATGAAATCATAATGCAGCATAGTATTATATCACGACTGATACCTTTTATCCCTTTGCATGTTTTTGTATGTCCACCACAGGTACTGATTGTTGTACTACTGTCTTTGTGATATTGTTATGAATGAACTCAGTACTGATTTTGGTAGATATTCGACATTTCACTGTTAAATATCTGTTGTAACTTCATTGCGTTACATATCTGTGACACACTGTGCAATTACAACTTGATTTTAGAGCTTGTTCATTATGAAGGTTTAATGTTCCTGCATATATGTATTTTAGCTTAGATTTTTCTTGGAGCTCTTGGAGGTAAACGGCACAAGAAGGTAGGTCCCCATAAAATATTTAGTGCCTATTAGTCAGAAATGTCAAGCAGAAATTTGAGAAAGCTTTTATTACAAGACTAACGAATCATTACTGTCACACCATAAAGCAACTCCAACCATAAATGGTACAATAATTGAGGGTGATTGAACTATTCAGATAACTTGTGTTTAGAATAAAAGTTTGGAAAAATGTTAAATACACACCTGGGCATATCTTGTTGAAATCAGAGCTTATTTAAATGTATTCAGCCCAGATAATCGAGAAATTTGTGAAGAAATTCTGCATTGTGCATCACTGCGCTTGTTATTGATTTGCCATATTTCTTTTTATATGGGAAAGAACAAACTGAGATGGTATGAATTTTACACACAATAGTCCTTACATTATAATTGTACTTGTGCAAAAACTGTAAGTTGATTTGTTAAGTTATGCAGAGAAATATAATCAATTAAGTATTCTTAACTGTTCTGATTATCGATAAAGTGAAGCTGCCAAACACTTGCTTCTCTTCACCGTTATGTCATTGTAAAAGAAATCTCATGCACTGGGAAACTGAAATGAACATTGTTAGTGTTTCCTGTAATGTTTTTGACTAATTAATTAATTGATGAAGAATGTATAAAGATTTAGTCAGTAATGAAAGTAAGTTAAAAATGTACAGAATCTGTGTTTCATATGTTCAGTTAAATATGAATCATTTTGTTGCACCCAGTTTGGGTTTTAGTTTCTAAAGTGCTTGTTGTGAGCTCTTGCCTAAGAATTTCTGTCATTGTTAAAGCCGCAGTTAATGTTGTATCATATGCAGGCTGTAAAAAAATCATGACTGAACCCGAAGTGTAACTGAAACAACTGATGCAACCTGTAACACAGTATAACACAAGCTGATTCTTTACAACTCTTGTTAACTCTTTGTGAACAAGTATTTACTATAGTGTTTTTGCATGATTGTGTCCAAAAAAAAGTGTAATTTTTGATGCGCATCCTCGATTTAGCTGATGTAAGGAAGAAGCACTACCAATCAAACCAGGTTATGATCAACTTTGGGAAATTAAATGCAAGATTTCATGTTTTATTTCAGTCTTGTTAAGCAGCAGACTTCTACTCTGATATGGTATCTACATGGGAAGAGCCACATCACTGTGTTTTCTCCTGAATTTCATTAAGTGAACAAAAAGAATCTTTAGTGCAAAGTCTTGCATCTTTTTTCGAGGGTCACTCAAACACAGTGTGTGAAATGAGAGTTGCCTGGGTGTGACTTTTTCGGAAAGTATCCGTTTGCTATTGTCTGCCTAGTCAACTTCTGCAGGCCCCAGTGCCCTGACTTCCATACATGAGAGATCAAGGGTTACCAAGGTGCTTTTGAGAAAGGACTCAGTGTGAGAGGGGACAAACCAGTCCACAAAATACTCATTTCCTTTGCATGTTAGGTGCTCCACTGGGGAGTCAGATAGGGTCACCGACACAGCTACTGGGAATGAGTTTTTTTTCCATCGTTGTTCTTAATGAAAACTGTATCTTGCCTTTCCAGTGGCTTGTGACTACTAACTGCAGCCTGTACAGTATGGTGCTCGATAATATGCTGAATTTGCCCCAAAGAAAGTTTGTTCACACTGTGGCTGTTTATTCGGTGCCGGACAGAGGTGCCTCGTGTAGAGAAGGTAAAAGTAGTTCAGTCCACCTCTCATTCTTTCCAAAAAGTTCAGTCACTGAGCCACGGCATTAACTTGTATTCTAACAAGATTAAAATATATTCGTCCTGGGGATTAGCATAGTTAGGTGTCCTTTTGCCTCTTTTTTTTATTTTTTTGTTCCTGCACTGGTGCGGTGACAGTGGGCTTTGATCTGTGTTGCGAGGCAAGAGTCCTAGCTTGGACCTAGCCATTCGAGTGCCAAGTGTGAAATTGGCCTGATGTCATCCCCATTCTTCACCTTTTACATCTTTCACCACTTTAATTATGTTTCTGCCACAAAGCCCGGGCACCTCTGAGCAGATTCCACTCTGGCTGGAGGAAGCATTTAGAAACTGGGGGTAAATGACACAGTAGGGGAGGGGGAGGATGGTAGGAGAGGTCAAAGCAGGATGGGGCCCTTTTGTATTTAAAAGCAGACATTGATACTTTCTTGATGAGTCCTGCACTTACTGAATTTTTACAGCATAACGTGTCAGCTATACAGACCATAACTTCAATTGCAAGCATTTTTACAGTATCCACAAGATGATTATTTCAGTGTTTTCTTCCCAGATTGCTAATTATTTATATTATTTTCTTGATAGCAATGGAAGTCTTTTCAGTTGTAGTTAATTCCTAAAACAGTGACTAGTTGAGATCACTATACCATCTGAATATCACTTCCAGACATGAGAAAAATAGTCAAATAAAAGTGTTTGTTCTAGGACAATGTCACAAATGCAGCTGCACGTTTCAGTTTAAGCTGTTATTCATGCATTGGTGTCCCTATCTGAACTTCAGGGAGCTTCTCTGCCTGTGAATATGTTGATGGTTACTACTGAAGCACTGACCGAAGGACCAAAACAGCAAAGATATTTGCGTGTGAGGAGGAACTGAAATGAATGAGATGTGTTGGTGTGCGTGCGTGTGTGTGTACGCGTGCGTCTCAGGCAAGAATAAAATACAGCCAAGTGCTAATATGAGAGTGAGTTAGTCAGTGAGAAGGCAGTGTGTGGAGAATGGGTTACTGCAGGGCGGGAGAGGGGAAACCAGCCACCTGCAGCCATGACAGGCTTTGACCTTCATTGCTCTCTCTCCCTTGCTCTATCTCTCTCGCCCCCTCCCTCTCTCTCACTCTCTCCTTTTGACTCCCATTTCTGCCTTGTGATAGAAGCACAGGCTCTTTTCAGATGCGGTGAGGAAGACTGACCATCGTGAAGACAGAGCTGGGAGCAGCCCTGTCTGCTCTAATGCTAGCCACTGGCCGCTAGCGTTCAAAGACTAGTGGTGCAAGTATGGAAATGCAGATAAGGCATTGTTGAGGAAACATGCCTGGGAATTGTTCAAGGCTTTCCCTTGCATAATGTTGGATGCATGTGCAAATGTTTTAATCTGGAAACGTGAATTTGATTCTCCGTGAAACTCATCCTGAACCACCCATGGAATGAGTGGGTGTTTGTGATGCTATTCATATTAAGTGTTAGTGAACATTTGACATCTGGCAGCATTTATTTAAAACAATTATTGGATGCATTTCTCTTCCTGGTAATTGTAGCTAGTGAGGTTTATTTTTTTTTTCATACTCAGAAGCACAGCATACATTGAAGGTCAAATTTCACCACTTTAGCCAGACCTCAGTTATTTTTTTTCTTCTGTTTTGGAGTAATATATCAACCCTATGCTTTGTATAGACATGGCAGAAACCTGTTTGTGTATAATCTTCAAGGTTTATTTACTCTTCTTTTTCAGTTTTCAGGAGGCAGTTAATTACACAATTAATACATGATACAAATTATGTACATTTATACCAAAGAATACTTCCCAACATAAAATAAAAATAGCATTGTACTGTACAACTCTGTGTTGTAATTTTATTTAAACATGTTCATATATAGATATACGCTGATGAGTAAATTCATAATGTCATACCAGCAGTTTTCATAAAGGCATTAAACTTGAATAGTCTGTATTTGAAGTAATACTGCTTCTCTGATTCGGCACAGTTCTGTTTCATAAAAAGTTCACACTTGAACTTTAAGGCAAAGTGTGTTTCTGTTTGGTGGATTTTAATTCACACACACTTTTTGCAGATACACAACAAAAAACACTTTGAAAGGCAAAAAGTCCACATTTTGGTATGGATACAGTCTACAACTTAGCTCAATCATACTTTCGTCGAGAAAGACCAAAGTTTTGAAACACAGTTATTTGCCCAAGTACAACAAATTGCAGCTGTCATGCAAAGGCCCCATAAACAATTTTTCATTCACAGAAAAGAAAACAAAAAGAAGTTATTGCAAGATAAACAAGCAGTGTAAACACCTCGGATACCTACTCTAAAGCAACACTGGTCAAAGGATAGATTTATTTTCTCAATATAATCTATATAAATACACATGAAGTCCTTTCAACAACGATAAGAGTTCCAACATTTGTAATACAGTCACTGACGTGTTTGCCGCCTTTTGTGATATATGGATATGTAATAAAAATGTATATAGAGAAAGATTTAACAAGAACATCCAGTAACCTGCATTTATAGTCTATACTCGAGTGCGTAAATGGTAATCATCGTTATGCTACAGAGTTGTTTCTGTGACTTCATAGGCAGCATTATAGCCTTCGTTAGTTACAAAAGTGATATATATTGCTGTTTAAAACTATAATATCTGCACTGGTGCATTGGTATAACAAGGGGAAACGCGCATAATACGTGTTTAAAGGCTATGAGACGACCACATACAGAAACAAGGCCTAACTCTGCGTTTTAGTTAATTGTCGCGTTAGAAAAACACTTATAACAAACTGCTTTGTGATATTGTTTTTAAAAAACTATCAAAATTCACGGTCTACCCAATTAGGTCTGACTGACGACACTCAAAAACACCTTCTTCTGTCCGTTTTTACACCGAACACAACCAAGGAGCCCAACAAGCATAGCAGTAACATCGTGTTAGCTTTTATTTAAATTCACAGTAGCCTGGATGCAGCAATCAAATATTCTTTGGACTTAAGTTTGTTCATTTTTCTTACAGATCGTAACGTCAAGTGCCAGTCGGTTAAATGGTGACAATCATGGATAGCAGTAGGCCTGTAAAAGATGGAGGATGGCGGCGGGGTGTGTGTGTGTGTGTGTGTGTGTGTGTGTGTGTGTTGGGGGGGACAAACAATGAAAACACCTTTATACAACACCTTTTATAGACGTGATATTGCAGAAATATGAAATATCTCTTCTTTTTTAAACAATTTATGCTGGTATACTCTACACACTGGCCCTTTATTTGATGAAATTATTGCATTATAGGCTTGATTAAACCTCCCATAGAACAAAAAAACACTATAATACTCCTATAGGAACCTATAGAGATCATTAAATATTCCTATAGTCCAGTGACCCTATTGTTTATTTGTGATATTTTGATATTTCTTAGTGTTCTGGACCCATTAGGCTTATATTTGTAGTGGGCCAGCATTGAGTATAGTGATAGTACTTCCTGGTATTTTTATCTGCTGTGGTATCGTTAAATATCTATTCCTGTAGGTAGAGTTTTGCTGTGATATCTATAAAAATCTATCATAGGATTACTATAGGTTCTTCTTCGTTAGGAGGCTGTGGTTACTTCTCTGGAAATCAATCGCTATCTGATTTTTCGTCTTTCGACGTCACGGTGGCGTGATTGTACAGTCCCTGTGCCATCAGGTGCAAGGCTAGACTGTTTTTAGTGCCGCTGGCCTTCTTGATCTTGGCCCTCTTGTTCTGAAACCAGATCTTGATCTGGGACTCGTTCAGGCCCAGTTCCTGCGCCAGGTTCTGCCGCCTCTGTTCGGTCAGATACCGATTTGTCTGAAACTCCGATTTTAGTCTTTGCAGCTGTTCTGCTGTGAAGGCCGTCCGTGGTCTCTTGTCCTCTTTGCTGGTCGATTTCTTCTTTGGTTTGCGTGATCTTGGCCCTGTAGTGGAGGGTAATTGGGGATGGGGGTCACAGACACATTACTGTAGTTTGTATCACAAGACGTTATGAGCAGCCGAAATAAACAAGATATAAAGTTTGACATCGACGATAATCAGACAAGCGCCTAAGTAATAACTGTGCACACACAAAAATCTATTATTTGAGGTTATGGCAGTAAAATATAACAAATCTATAAGTAGCACTGATATTCTGCTTCTTTGCGCCCCTAAATGGATCTAAAGCAGGTAATGTAAACATTTACATTTTTAAACTTAAATCTCTAAAATTACGAATATTTGATTAGATATCTGTTGTCGTAAAGACGCTGTTTTAGGAATGTTTGAGTAAAAAAAGAAAAGCACAAATATAGGCTAGGTTTTCCTATTAACAAAACGATTGTAAAACGGTGACGCACACACTAAAGATAACATCCAAAAAGCAAAACATTCACTCCCTCCTTGTTTCTATAACGCCACATCGCTCACAAACATAAGCCACAGCCTATAACCTCGGCGTGCACACATACACACACGCACATTGACACTGTCTGTAATAATAAAGAACAATTAACCAGTGAGACAGCACTGAAAAAAACACCCTCTCACTCCAGCCACTGTTTTGCAGTCGAGTTGAAAACAGGATAAATTTCAGTGCAGCTACTTTGCATGTTTGTTTTTGTTCGCCACTTGAAAAGCTGGTCAATGGGCAAACGTGAACAGAATTTGAGCAGCACACATTAGACACACATTAATTTTCTATCTGGATAGACCTATTTGATGGAGTTCTGAGCTAAGCATTTGGTTCCCTCCTCCAAACCGTAAAAAAACAACACTGAAACGACAAAGTACTTGTCTCTTTTTTTTCCCAAGCAGCCTATATAAAAAGGTGTGTAGCCCTACAACTCGTAGTAGTCTCCTATGACATACGGCGTTACATAATGCTTGAGAACAAGTTGTACTCGGGTTTTGCTGGACTCTTAAGAAAACCTCCCCTTTCTGCAAGCACAAAAAGTTTAAGGCCATTTCTTATAAATAAAGCAACAATAATAGTAAAAGTTCAGCACTGGCCAGCATCTGTTATGGAAGCTTAAACTGTGACAACCGGTTTAATTCAGCCCAAACACAACTCGTCTAAAGCTAAAGAGCAAAGCTCTGACGCACCAAATAATATTTTGCAGCCGCGCAGATTCTCTGGAAGACATTCAGCCTGTCAGCGCTTATGTTTACTATGTGTAGGTCTTCAGTTCTTTATCCGAGGAAATTTGGAAAAAAGACGCCAGCATTTCAGTGAAGACAAATCTATAGGCCGACGTAATAGTTACAACAATTGGCCATTTTGCTTTTGTTTGAATGCATCTCGGTCAGTGGACTAATTAAAATATAATTTACAATGTTATGATCTTTACTGTCCTTGTTTGCAATTAAACAAAGACCAACTTTAATCAGAAATGTCATTTTTAGGTAGTATTTTTGGATGTCGCACACTGGGATGCTGTTCGTGTAATCTAAATCCGGATTGTGCATTAAATAACCTACTAATTCTCTTTTTCTTTCGAAATTGGTTTATAGCCTATGCTATTTCCTAAATTCTCCGTTTCATCTGCACTGCACGGTTCGCGCTACTCGGCAGAAGTCGGTCAAGGCATCTGGGGTCAGTGTTATGGGGTATTTCAGGTTACAGAGAATAGACAGAGCTGAAACGCATGCACCGTGCCACTAACCTGAAGAAGGCCTGTCCGAGTATCTGGTGCAGTAGACCCAGGCTGGCCACAGCATGGGCTGAGACGCGGCTGGGTTTGAGCTGGCTTGGGAACTGTCTGAGTCTGAGCTTAGGCACTGGTCTCCATTCTCTCCGCGGGGTTTCAGGGGCTCCTCGGCCGCTATAGCGGGCTTTTTGGCCACCGTAACCGTATGCGGAGTGGACGTCCCCTCCGCTGGAACAGTGCTTCCCACCGGCTCGGTCTGAGGGGCGGCAGGGCTGTTGTGACTCTCCTGCGAGGCCAGGCTACTGTCTTCATGCTCTGCTCCTCCGTCTTTTTTCCGTCCGAAATCTGGCCGCAAGATGTTATCAATGAAGAAATTGGTGACCCTGTGAGGGATCTGCAGGTTTCCCGGCGCCTGTAAGAGGGGAATGATGGCTCTGTTTGATTCGTCCACTGACTCCTGCCGCTCCACCGCGTCTCTGCTGCCGTTATCATTTTCTTCCATACTGATTCACTTTCCCCGCTTTACTCTCTTTAACCCCTTTGTCGCTATCTCCGCTGCAAATTGTCAGGGAAACTTCAGGGAAATTGAAAAATATACACGCGTAAAATAAATTAAAAATTGATCTCAATTACTAGTGCGTGCCTTGGACACCATGCAAAGCCATGCAATAGTGTCCTCTGAGGAAAAACATACTTTTTGTCATATAGGTTATTCCCTCAATGTCGGGTTACAACTGATCTCGTAGTGCTAAAACCTGTGCCATTTGCGCACCATCGTACCGTTATCCAGTTTCACTGCGCTCCGTTATACCTACACCTAAACTAAACTAAGGGTAAATAAAGAGGCTCCTAAACTGATGCTCTAATACTCTCACTCTGGAGTTTTGTTCTTATTTTCAATACGAGCCCCCCAGTGACGTTTTCTCACCGACCACCCAGACACGTGCCTTGGACCAATTGGATGGCAGAAACCAGGCCACGTGACGCAGACTCCAAAGCAGTCCACAAACGCCCATCCTAGCCTAGTAAAAGGGAAACGTCCTGGACTACCGGAGAGGAAGCCTAATTTAAATCCCGTGCATGCTCCCAGTTACTCCCAATAATTCATCTGTATTTATGAACCTGTAACTTAATTTTTTGGCGTCAATTTGCAAAGGAAAACACGATGCACGCCAGCTTGCTTTTGTTTATAAAAACAATAAGAGACTGAAGCATCGGTTGTCAGTGGGTTGTGGGGACCCCCGTGGTTCCTGCTTGTAGGGCAGGGAGGGATTCCCAGTCAAAGACGAATATACTAGTTCTACTATATTGCATGCAGCCTATAACCTTTAAGAAATTTCATTCTCGTTGCTTTTACATATCCACAGTTAGATGCGGTTCAATTAAGTTAAACAGCTAAAAATCTGCTCCTGTTGAAGTGGGACACATGCAGTCACATCAAAATAAGATTATAACGGCCTCATGAGGAGTTTGTGTTTTTGGAGATTCGTGGTTGAAAATCTGAGGCAACTTGTGTTTCAAAATCACTTGTACCTTTAGACAACACTGAAAACAGGCATCCAGCCCATATAACAGTATATCTGCATTATTATAACACCTGTATAGTCAAATGGACTCAGTTAGCTTGTCCTGGCCAAGGTTAAATGCGGAAAACAGAATTGCTGCATGTCGTGCTCACGTTTTGAAGTGAAGATGGGGTTACTTCTTGAAAACTGAATTGAATGTCAAGGCAGTTATTTCATTTTAACCTGTAGCAGCAGCACGTTAGTGGTTAGGATATTTAACCGCTTTGATTTGCGGGGTGGGGATGCAGCCTATCATGTTGCTTTCAGACGCCTCATTATTGGTAGAAAATACATCAAAACCGAAACGTGACAGCCAAAGAGTCTCTCCTGTGCGATTTCAAACGCACAGGGATGTGTGTAAAGTATTTTTGATGCTCATGTTCGTATGTCGTGACGCTGCGTTCGACCAAGAACGGGGTCTATATCCCTTTAAAAGAAATCAGTGATGCAAACAAACTATTTTGTGCACGGCGCTCGGGATACTAAGCCGCGCCAAAGACAAAACTTTGGCTAACTTTGCTGACCAACGCTAAGTTTGTGTTTCTCCTCCCTCGACACCACCGGGCAGCAAGGATGGCTCTGTTGGTTCTCCGTTAGCGTTTGAGGCTGCGCGTAAAAATGGGGCATCGAGGAGGAACAGGAGCAGCAAGACTGAGTGAGGAGCCTTGGAACAATTCAGTTATAAAGTCAGCTGCCTTCTCTTTGCTGTTACACGCATGCATTGTCTTATATGTTTTCTGGAAGCAGGAAAAACCTGGATTCAAATTTTTTTAAGTGGATACAGGACGCACTAACATGTTTTGTATCATTAGATTTTTTGCGTGCTTTAGCTGTGAGGCTAGGCCTATGTTATGGATAGATGATTTACTGGAACTGCACATTCTTGCTGTAAACTAGCATCTTTCCCCAATGTTGGCTTTAAAGCCCGAAACTGATTAATTTGGATGAAAGAAACATTAAACCCTGTAGTCTAAGATAGATTTAGTCCTGTAGGAGACATCATATCTCTGGCTTGTCACATGTTAAATACCAACTTTGTGCAAATTCCATCTCAATTATGGTAACGTGCTATTGCATAAATCATTTACTTGGAGTTGAAGGCGTCTTCACAGTTCACATGCACACAAATTCGCTAAGTGCGACATCACAGGCTTCTACAGTGGATCTTTGAATTGTATTTTTAAATTAAGAATGGATTATTGCTATCTGATAATAGTGTTTAAAAAATTATTAGCCTATATCCAAATTTACCTGAACAGCACCATCTTCTTCTGCCTCCCATCTTCCCAGTCACAAAGGGCCCATCCCAGCTCTCCCTTCGGCTGCTGAAGGGAGAGATGTAATTAGACAGGGCACTCTCATGCTGCGATTGTTTCTCACAAAGCGCAGATTAATGTTGAGCGCTAAATAAGCAGCAGACAATACAGGCCGCTACCGCCTGGGCTTGGCCTCTAACCTCACAGCAAAACAGGGATGTCTAGAGGAAATGACACCATTTCAGACTGAATTATAATAAGAGGCTGTGTGCACTGCAAAAAAACACGCATTATAATAGCCAACCACCCCGCCAATCATCCCCTAAATCTTATATTTCCCATAAAAAGTGACATATCTGGCACTTTTCACTTTTTTTTCCATTGTGAAGCGGCATTTTTAAACAGTTTGAACGGGTCGGGAATATAGTTTTTTGTTTTATGTAACTGAAACATCAGTGTAAGAAGGTAATCGTCTGCATTTTTAGTAGAACAGTAAGCTTTTAAGCCTCGAAATTGGACTTTATGACATGGTTATTTCTGCAGTTTATACTGTAAAAGCCTAATCCCGCATTTTTTGGGGAGGGTCCTGTTTAATTTCGGGTGGCTTGTTTTGGTCAGTGATGTATCGTGATCTGTTTTAGTAGAAAACCTCATATCATTGATTTACTTCCGGAGAATTTGTGTGCGAGACATTCACTTTTCTGGTGGTGAATGAAAATATTTTCTGTTTGTCCTGGTTGATTGAGGGTTAAGCTATTGTTAAAGCCTTCAAATGATTTGCATATCCCTCCTTTTCTGTTTCTATTTTTACCAAGAAATCAGGCATAATAAACTCATAAAGCTAATATATTATTAGCCTGTGGTCGTTTCTGGCTGTCTTTGTTGCCATGCTTGCTTTGTAGTCTGTACTGGCAGGCTATATTGTCTTGTTCTCTATTGACTGTTGGCTCCTCCACGTTTATACCATGTTGTGTTTTCCAAATTATTGATTTATACTACTGAGAATAACTGCAGCTTGAAAAGCTTTTATAATAACAGGTTTTATTTAGCCTACATCTGGGCTCATGTTGTCCAGACTCTGAAATTGAAATGAGTCAAAATATATATTTAATTAAAATGTTATTGCTCGTGACATGAATAAAAACTGTCCAAATAAAGCTAATACCACAAGCCTTACCGTGCATGTGCGTATCCATCAAGACATTCGCTTGTATTAGCTACAAGCTTGTGGGTTTTGTTTACAGTAAATGACTTTAAAACCTGTGTGTTTTTGCTTGTCACATTTTGACAAAACATGGTCCAGTGTTCAAACAGCCGTGCAGTCAGAGAGCCAAAATGTGCACGCTCATTTCCGTGCAGTCTGATGTGTGCTTAGCAGAACCCTGGTCTTTTCCAAGCGCTGAACACAAATGCATTGTTTTCGGTATCAGGTGTTATTTGTTTTAATTTGCTCTACAAGACTCTGCCACGTAACTCCCGTCAGCAATGATGTGAAGTTTCAGAAAACATTTGCTTTGATCTATTTTTGCCAACATGGAATCAACAATCAATAACGTAGCCCACAGTTTTTATTGTTGTTATTATTATATACAAAGGATACACTGAGATTCCACACACTGGTTAAAACACAAGCTGAATAAAATTCTAATTTGCTATGAATATATTCAGTTATTCTTCAGGGAGGACATATTGATTCTCGTATGCCATGTCTTTCAGGTTCTACTAAAAGTGAAAAAGCATCGAAGCGCTTCCTTTGTGTTGCAGGGGAGGGCTACCTTGTTTCTCAAATGAATTCAAGGTTGCTGTTTTTGTTTCTCTGCAGCCAAATCCAGCAGCTGGACCGATTTCATATTCACTTACAGCTCACCCCCGCTCTCCCATCGCATGCAGTGTGCGCATGTGCCCTGTCCTCCAGTTCCTGTTTTCCTCAGTATTGTAGTAGCACTGTCTCACACGTCACCGGCGCTCAGACTATGGAGTAGCCTACTACAAAAGGTGACGCGCGAAAGGGGGATTTGTGAATGGACGCCGTGATGTGTGCCAGCTCATAGGGCGGTGGGACTTCTGCAGATACACCCTGAGCCTCCACCACCCCTACCCTGTCGCAGCACCCCTCCTTCTCCTGGTCACCATCCCTCCCTCCAAATGAATAGGGATCTCAGCTCTGTCCCCATGCAGGGGTCAGACCAAATCCTCCAGCTTCCTCTGCCTTTCAAAACCTGAAAGCACGTCTCTCTTATTTGATGATCCTATATGATTTTTTTGCGGGGGGGGGGGGTGCTTTTGTGCGCCCTGACGCGCTCTGCCCCCTGTTTTCCATCCTGGATGAGCCAGAAGCATGGCAACCCAAATAGAACCGATTAGAAGTAGGGCTAATTGTATGTAGTCTACCCTGCAAAAGGTCATTTTAAAAATACAATTAATCTTAATATCTTTTATGATTCGGGAGGGAGTCCACCTGTTTGTAATGGCCCATTGCTGCCCAAGAACTGTATAGACACAAGCAGCCTGCCAGTGTGTCGGATATGACCGAAGTGTACAGAAGACAAGAAATTTAAAAAAAGCCAAATCTTGATTAGAAACAAATGCTATTAAGTGGTCTCATTTTTGCCACCTGCCCCAGTGGATATTTTCGCATAGTAATCTGCAAACTCTGCATGATTACTAGTCCTGTAAAGGTCATATCTTGCAGCCTATCTATAAAGATAATCTTGATTAACTCCTACTTATTATTCTTCTAAAAGTAAAAACGTGATATAAAAAGGCGTTTTGATTTGTAGCCTATATTTTTTAAAGGAAGCGTAGTGTCCCCACTCTGTTTGCATAGCCTTCCCTCTATCTGTGTTACCCACTATTTATTCCTCATCACACTATGATGTCTATATAGCCTCATTTTTTCCGTTGTGCATGTGCGTACAGAGAAATCATCTGGAATGCAGCGGACTCTACTGAGTCTTCTGGTTTCAGCCCTTTATCGGTTTTAATAACTCTTAATCCGTCTGATCAGTGTGGCGTAGATAAGTCTCATTTGAATTGGAATTGTTCTTAAGGAGAGGCCATTTCCCCACAGAAGT